TATTTTACCACTCAAGTTTTTCGTACTTTTTTCAGAACTGCACTCATAGAAGAAGCTAGGTGATGGTGTGAGACTCTAATCTCGCCCAGCAAGTGGTTTACGTCACGGATGACACGGCGAGCGATCGCAACGTTCTGTTTAAATCAAGGAGTCGCTTCTGTGGTTCTATTTTACCGGTAACTCGTGCCTCAGCACGCGTCTTCAAACGTACATTGCAACGAGCACAAGCAGGAGACCACCAAGGCACGCATTTCGAGAAATAGCCTCCCGAAGTTTGGGGTAAAGAATGAGAAGCTGCGGTGAAAAAGGAGGACGAGAAGAGGTTAAAAGCTCATCGATGAGGACGAAGAAGGAACCCTCTTTAAAACAGTTCCAGGTGTGAGTAAAGGTTCCCAATTTGCCCGATAAATTGCCAGCGTGGGGTGCGAAGACGGTGGCGAATATGAAGGGGAATAAGATGATTGGAAATGATCACTGTCATGTAAGTCCGGGATAACAGACCAAGTAAAGTCTAATGCGGCGAGGAAAGCAAACTGAGAGAATCGAGCCAAGAGAAGTATGAGTCCGAGATCAAAATGGTGTGAGTACCTGTATTTAAAACATGGAAGGGGGTGGGTTGGCAAGAAATAAGCCTCTAACTGAATTCCACGGAATCACAGTGAGACCCTCCCCAGAGAAATGTGGGCATTAAAATCACAAGTCACAGAATCGTGCGGTAATTGACGAAACAGGAAGGCAAATCCGAAGAATATGCCCGAGAAGGAGAGAGATATAAGAACAGAGCGTAATACCACCTATGTAAGTGTCTACGGCTTCTGTGTAAATGCAGCGAAAGGTATGAACAAATAGCTGATGGTACGGAATATCATTGCGGAGAAAAGGCACTTTTCATTAAAGGTCGCCATCAGGAAAAGGATCTGAGAATACAATAAATATATAGCCTGAGATGTGATAAATTAACAGCAGATGTAATTTTTGGTTCCTGTAAGCTAACACCACAGCAAACGGGAGAGTAACATCTGAAGCCACCCCGAATACCCCTGAGGCCGCGAATATACCACAGAAAAAAAAGGCCATGATTGGCAATGATAAAGATACTTGAAAATCCGCAGGTAAGGTTCCTACGGACTAAAGGGTTAGAAAAGTCACAATGCGGAGGCAGTGAAAATGTCAAGCGAGCGAAGGAACGGTGCGCTGTGAAAAAGGAGTTGCGTCAATGGAGCAGAGGAGAGAGGAAGAGCGGAAGGTGGATCAGTGGTCCATTGATTGGTTTTGTCATCTGATTATATTCGAGATTGCTTCAAGTGTTTCGGAATTCAGAGATGTCCGATGGTAACACTATTGGGAATGGTAGGGGGAGGATGAGTAAAGATTGGAACTCTGTATTGGAACTGTACCAAGGTAGGGGGCGAAGGTGAGGGGGAACTGGAGATGCGTGCAGGGGACAGAAGAGACAGGATAAAACCTGGGAGGTGGCAGAAGAGAAGAAACTTGGGAGGAATCAGGGGAGGAAGGTACATTATGAGGAGGAGGGTGAACCTCTGCACGGAATCTGACCAGTGAGAGGGGAAGAACTAGGGACAGATACAGGGAGGTAAAATGAGGAGGTGAAGATGGTTAGGAGGGTGTTACCGGAAAACCATTTTTTAGACTTTTGAGAAGTATATGGGACGATTGGGGAAAGGTGTCGTACGAGGGTCTAGTCGATACTGAGGCTGTAAGAGAGACCTCGAAGAAGCGAGATTAGACTGAGGAGCGTTGAAGTAGGGCCGTCTGAGCCGAGGACAGCAAAAGATTAGAAATACAGGAGTGATTAGGGCAGAGGTAACCACAGAGGTGGTAGAAGATGGATACCATAAGGGGGGGAAAACGTTTTGAACACAGTGAATAAGAAACACGAGGGAGTCACCCTTGGAGGCGGAGATGAGAAAACTGCCATGGCATAAGGGAGACCCTTCTGTCCTCCTTTGAAGAAAAACGGATTTCCTCGCTCGTTTAAATAGACCTGACAAGCGCGGAGTACAAGGTGAGCCCTCATGACGTGGGAGTTAAGCAAGAGGGAGATCGATTGCAAGACGTATTAGAATGGTCATCTGGCACCACAGACTGTGGTCATTCGGCGATAGATTCTGCAATATTTCTCGCTGGATGGCCAAAATCGCCAGCAAATTCTACACGTTGTGGTGTAGGATCACCTTTCGAACTTGTAACCGCTGTCCTGCTAAATAAACGAGAGGATGGAGTTCCCGCTGTCAAAGATAAACGAGCCACATTGCTAGGGTACGTCTTCCGCCCTCGGGCTGGAAGAACCGTAAGTGTCTACCTTGAGGATTGGGATATCTTGGAGTTCCAGCTGTTGCTAGAATGTCGTGCCACATTCTGGTAATTTTGTTGAACTAGGATGGGGGCAGAATAACGGTACCACTACATGAATTGAGGTAAAGATGTTTTTCAGGTGACAGAACAGTATCAATATGGTAAGACGAGAGAGCTCACGAGCCTGGGTAGCATTCTGACAAACGGTAAATGATGCGCGTACCGCTATCTAAAGCATGAAAAGAAATATCTTTTACCACATGCGTAGGAGTGCCTTGCAAATACTATGGTCAGAAAGATAGGCAGTAGAGGGAAGTTGGTCAGTAAAGTGAAGAATTTAGGTTCCAACTGTTCAGTCTAAACGGGGGGGGGGGAGCTGAAAGGTAGTGAAAGGACGTGCGATCGTTTCCTGAGAAGAACGATCAGGTGAAGGTGGAGAAAGTATCATCACAGTATGGTCGTTGAACGTTTAGGCTGGGACCCAAGAGTTTGGTCCGACTGGAACGGGCGCGATTTGAAAATTGCCGTCACCGTAGAGGGAGAGGCCGGGGGAAAAAAACAAAAAAGCATAGTCAGAGGAGAGCGAAGGTCTGATAAATCGAAGGAGTCCAGTCGAGGCCCTCCACTGAAGCGGGTGAGGAAACAGCACCGGCAATAGTACAGAGGGCATGAGGAATGGTCAGAAGATGGTCCAAAGACGAGGCTTGGTCAGAACGGGTAGCGGTACAACAAGAAGGGGCCCGGGGTACAGGTTCAGGGACTAGGGCTGCCATGGTTAGGTTACTTCTTCTTTTTTGTTTTTATAAAAAAAAAAGAACGAAGAAAAGAAAATAAAAAAAAAAAAAGAAAAAAAAGGGGACCGGGGAGGGATAGTTCCTATGAGGGATGAAAGGGCCCAGAAATCTCCTCCTCGCCCAAGAGGACTCGTACACTGCTATAGCGCCGAGATGCAGCAGGAACCGTGCCACATACCTAACCTTCATGCCAGTAATCGACAGCAACTGATAGCAACCTCAACATCTGCCGAGCTACCTCCGGTGGACAAAAAGAGAGGGCGTCCGTATATCCGCCACAAAGCATACCTCCTTCAGCCACCATCCCCGAATCCGAAAGGTGGCTTCCAGAAGCTACACCCGCGCCCAAAATAGACACCCAAAGCTACTCCGGGATACAGTGAGAGGGATCGGGACATCCCTAGCAATCCAGATTTCCCCTGGCAAACGACCGCCACCGCAAAGAAACCTCAACGGAATGGGGATGACCGCCCCGTGTCCTTTCTCCTACCTAGAACTATCGCGCCTGTGGGCGAAATTCCCAAAGGACAAAAAGAGGAAGGGCAAAAGGAAGGAGTGGGGAGGTGAGAAAAGGAAAAAGGGAGATGGGGAGGATGGGATAGGGAGGGGAGATTGGGGGGTAATTAGGACGGTCTGAAGGAAGAAGACCGATAGGTCTAATCCTCCACCCCATGAGCCTCTCACCACCAAGGAACCACCCTTGAAGAGGAAGGGGTTTTACAGGCCCCTGGGAGAAATGAAAAGGCATTCAAGATGCAATTCAAGGAATAGGAGCAAAGATCCAGTACCTCAGGACAACCCTCCCCCACTCACCTGCATCAAGACTTTTCCCCACACTTGGGCTACCCATATTTCGAACCTTCGACTCGAGAAGCCTGTTTGTGTGGGAGCGAAACGTTACGGAAATAAAAGATACCCCAGTGTTACAAATGTAAGTTATAAATGACAAGATACTCCTCTTCCATATATTTCAATCTATCACTTTGATACCGATGAAATCCTTTTGAAAGAAATGCCTTTTCTATGAAATTCAATACACCGCAACTCAGACATGTGCTAGACACCTGGGCTAACAACTGGTCATTACACAAGTGTCCAAATCACCAACTTTTCGGATTGTATACCTGACCTAAAATCACAATTGTACTTGAAATAATCCTAGCATAATTTCCAAACCACAGGCTAATTTCTAAACATTCACTACTTTACTAATTTTTTGAGAATGACTGTTCATATAAAACTACAGCTGTCTTTTATATTATCCCATTGGGAACAAGAAATACGGGGAAAAGCATTTTTTCCTCTGAAAAATTCAATGGGGCTTTCCTGCGTCATGAGGCTTGTGATCCCTACAATTGATTTGAGTTCATAACAACCTTTGTACATACATGTGACCATTAAGTAATTGATTTAAGTACTATATAAACAAATAAGTACTAAAATATACAACACTGAAAGAGCTTTTCGAAAAATACAGATATCATCATCAACTTGTGTTAACATGCAAAAAATAACAGAGAAAGTGTTGATGTCCTCGTATAATAAATTCTAAGTAGGATAGTCATATAATACGTATCTTACATACAAAAAATGAACCTAAACTATAACAAGTTTAAATAGTATAACAATTTTTTTCAATGTAACTTTTCTAACAAGGATGGAATCGTATCACAGCAAAGTATAAATTTCTGCACAAAAAAAACCGCACATAGGGGATTGAAACTTATATCAATGTTTGGGTTCAACTTGGAGCATTTAACTATGTGCGAGTTATTTTTGTATTTTTGCCAGTCACGTACTGTGCTTGTTTAAATCTTTAAAGTATATTTTATTCTAGCAGTTATACAAGTGAGCAATGCATTATCAAGCACCACTGCATAAATAGACGAGATACACAAAAATAGAAATAGACGGCACACAAAATGAGAAATAAACGAGATACAAAATCAGTAATTGGGATCCCCCCCCAGGTAACTTTAGTTTAGTTAGTTTAATATGTTTATTATGCACCCCATACCCACCCTGTGGGCGGTAGACAAAAGATTACAGATTTTTGGGGGTTATCCTAGGTAATTTTGCACACGTTATTAGGTATGATAATTGTACTGATGTGTACCTGTACCTAAATAAACTTACTTAACCTTCTTTAGACAATGTTTCTCGTGTGCACTGTACTACCATTAGGTACGATTTATTTGATTTGAAACTGCCTTGGTGGAACTTACATGGTGATACCGACTAGTTACAGCTACAATGTATAAGTGGTAATAATAATATCTTTGTTTTCACAAGTACAAGCACATTATAAGGGCAATGACTGTCGGTCAATATGTAAAGCTGCCACCAATGCCTTGACCTCCATGAGACTTGGTGAGGCAAAATCATATAATGATACCTATGCAGCACTTGGGTATCTTCATTGCGAGACGTTTCACTAACCAGTGGCTTTATCAGAGTAATTACTGGAGACGGTAGAAGGCGTGAAGAGGTTATCTGAAGTGACTAGTCTTTTAGTCTTGATAAATCGAAGTTGAGGGACTGAACAGCTCAGCTTACCCCTTCACGTCTTGCACTGTCTCCAGTAATCATTTTGTGCTTTGGGCTGACGGAGCCCTCGGACCTAAACGTACTCATAAGTTAGTCTCCTGTGTGCGGGTTATTTATGTATTGTTCCAGTCGCGGCATTGTGCCTCTTTATTGGAGGAAAATGTAAACAGTTATAAGAAAAAGAATGTTTTCTTGGAAAAAGAAGCGAGGATCTGTACTTGCGTGTATACCCTGGGTGGGCAACCCTGTCGCCACAAGGGCCGAGCTGGCTATGAAAGCCTGGCGAATTTGAGTTTGCCATAATTTGGCTCTAATAATATAACATCTTTTATGCCGCCCTTATAAAAATTAGGCAGAATTTTCAGTCATAGATGAGGAGGCATTCTACTTAACAAAGATCTCCCAACTTTGAAATCAGACATTTCGAAATGACTATGACTGGATCGACTTTCTCGAGGATGGAATTCACTAAGTCAAAATACAGATCTCGAATTGTTGAGGAGCGATGTGTACATCTCTTTCAGATAATCAGTCAACAGCGTTGAAACTTGTTAATGGAACTGTTAAATTTCACATTAAATTTTCTCAGTTATTGTCAATTTAATTTTTTTTAATTTTTAGATGAGCAAGCCGATTTCTTAATTTTGCAAGGTGTGACGAATTTTACTCTCAGTAGCCACATCTGTTGCTACATTTAAAAAAAAAGAAGGTTGCCCACCTATTCTCTATAGTGTTTATTGTTTACTTGACTTACCAGAAGAGACAGAAAACTATATATTATTATTATAATAATTATATATTATTATTATTATAATCAAAACTTAGCGCATATATCTTTTGCAAAATAAGTAATATAAATAACTTGTTTTTTTTACAAGATGATCGGGTGAAATTGAGCAAATGGAGTGGAATTTTATTTTGATAAATGCCATCAAGGGGCGTCACAATGAGACAGTGAAACCAACATGAAGAATAAAAATTTGTAGACAAAATTTTGGGAGTATCATACAACGACTGGGATCCAGGAGCTATAAATGAAACTGTGAGAGATGCACACGCTACACTGACAAGTATAAAATAGCTTTAAATAAATGGACGGAGAGCTGATGAAAAATACAAAAATGTTTGTAATACATATGCGGCCAAAAATTTGAATATGCAGCTGCTATGGAGTGTCTACACTTTAAAATGTGGATCAGAGAGAAAAAAAATGTTAAAAAGTTACAAAATGGATCCCAAATATATAAAAAAAAAATGACATACGAAGTCTGTTCAGGATTATTTGAGCAGGAAACAAGTGTATAAGGTTGAAAACTTAACGTTCCGATTAACTCGGCTTAAGAGCACATTGTGACGTGTGCATTATATAAATAATGATAATATTATCATCACACATTAAAACATGGACGTCTTCCTTGTTTATGAGATGGTGAAAATTAGAATATCTTAAATTTGACACATGTGTCACAGAAATAGCATAATACTTAAAAAATCTGCAAATCAAATTTAAAATCTATGAACAGACGTACAAAATGTAAGTGTCGAGCATTGAAGGTAAATACTTGCAACACTATAATTTTATTGATGGTGTTAAAATAACTTGAAAATAAACAGGGCAGAGAAGAATAAAATTAAAACAGATTAAAATCATATAAAGTTAGACACGGGAGGAAAAAACATGAATGGCAAATTGATATAGTTTTCCATATCACTTCCTGGTTAGTGTCGTTGTACTGCTATCTTCATCTGATCTGACCTTTATAAAAAAAAAAAAACTATTTCAGTGACCAGTTCATAAAATTGTGCTCCACGTACCACGACGTATTTCCTTCATTTGTCAAAAAAAAAATATATTTGTTCAGTTTTCCAACACCTCAAAATTCATATGCTTGAGTTCCTCACTGGCCAAATTAACCACGCCGTATATTTCTTTCATCTGTAACTGAGCAACTAAATCCGAAATCCTACAATTCATTCCATAAATTCTGATTTGTAGTGACACCGGCATAAATGATTTAACTCATGACGGCTGAAGTACGGTGAGTTTTCATGCAGTTGTTACTATCGTCTTAAGCAGCTCCCGTGTCGTGGCCTGGTACAGGCTCCGTCTAACATGTTTAGTTCGTCGAAGAGAGGAAATGTCTTGGAGAAGGAGGTAGAGAGTTGGGAGGGTAGCCAGGCTGTAGAGGCTTGATCCCGCTGTGCATCCGTGATGGCGGCGCTGACATGGGGTAATTCATCTGTAACGCAATAATATAGTCACTGCTCAAACGGTAAATTAAAATACCGGTCAACGGCACAAACCAAGCAACGCAAGACAATAAAATAGAATCCTGAAGCCTTATGCAACACACTGAAAGATGTACGAAAGAAAAAGTGTAAATACATATGCTCAATAACAACCCACATAGGGACAGAAACTCTTAAGAGTAATTGATCGGTATATTTTGACTTCCTTCTGGAAGCTTGTGGCTTCCATCAACTTCAACTACATCATTTCTGCGGTCGGTCGTAAGCCGCCCGTTTATATAATTGCGTAAATGTAGGGTACGATTAAATTAATATAACCTAAAATGCCTAATATTTACTTTTTATCTTAGCTTAGGCTATGCAGAAATTAAGTCAATGCAACTCGTTAAAAAAATAAGTTTTTAATTTGAGGATAAATTACAGCTGGCTAAATTAGTATTACCTTCTTAGGGGTGGTGTTTGTGTACATGCGAGGGATGATAGGCTCCAACAGTCGCATGAATGTATCTTTAATGTGGAGACGTTTCGCCAACCAGTGGCTTTTATCAGCCCAATGCAAAAATACCGGAGACTGTGGAAAACGTGAAGAAACACTGTCAAATAATCAGTCCCTTTGCCTTAAAATGACTTGTTCAGTCCTTCAATCTTGATTCTTCAAGAATGATGGACCTCCTTTCAAGGCTGAAGCGCTGATCATCTCAAACTGCTACTTCACGTCTTCCAGTCTCCGGCATATTCTCTGTATTGGACTGATAAAGCCACTGGTTGGCGAAACGTCTTCACAATGAAGATACCCGAGTGTTACACAGGTGCCTTATTCATCTGCTTAAGTTGGGATTCTCCCCAATCTTACATATGGTGATACCTTCCAAGTTGTTTTGCTCCAGAAAAATCTGTCATTGCTGTGATTATGGCTCACCGAGTAGCAAGCTATTTAACAAGCAGTGACAGAAGGGCATGGTGTCGCAACCTATCATTCATTCAGAGAAAACAGCTTCGGGTTATTGCCTCTGACGACACTGTCTCTATCACAACTCTAACTTACTGCTAGACTCTAGATAATAAGATATTACAAAGACCCCAATGGAAGTCACTTTGACCTTTTCTGGGTTATAGTGAGTAATATATACATATGTTAAACTGCATGATAATTGTGTACCTGCATCTAAATAAACTTACTTATACCTACATAACAATATACAATGATCTGTTTTGGTTTATTGTCTACTTTTTGGTTGGTTTGTGCCATCAACACTGGTAGTAAATCTCACATCATTATGTAATTCACTACTACCGCCATCAGAATTTTATTTTGCAAATATACAATGGTGTTCATATTTTTTTTATTAACACATCGGCCGATTCCCACCAAGGCGGGGTGGGAATCGGCCGACGGAAGTGAAAAGACGAAACAAAGCTAAGAAAAGATAAAGCTTAGCTGGAGATATGTGAAGAAAAATAGTATAACAGGAAGTTGGAGGAAACGCCATAAAAGACAAAGATAAAAGGAAAAAATGAAGGGGTTAATTAAACAAAGCAAAAGAAGTCATAATAACAAGACATGGCTGGAAATAAAGGTTTATAAATGCATTATATACTGCATAACAAATATCCCAGCAAGCTAGACGAAGAGCAGATAACAAACAAAAAAAATAGCATGTATAGACATATAGTAGTAGTAGTAGGAATTCTGGTGCTGAGAAACATCAGTAAAACATAACGAGGAAGACATTCGAGTCTGTGATGACGAGTGACAGCGGAGAACAAGCTGAACTAACCTGTGAAACAGCATAATTATTCTGTGTATTACACTTAGTGATGCATAACTACAGATAAATAAAGGTAGATAATGGGATAACATGTGGAGAAGAAAATGTAAATAAGTGAAATAGCACAGATATGCTGTGTTGCACTTGGTGACATATAGATTGAGTTAACTCGGATAATATTAATAAACATTTAGTATATTTTGGTGGAATACATTGACAAATACTACATTGACAGCAACTTCAGTGAGAGAAAGTTGGTTACTAAAAGTGAGAGATAGGTAAGAAAGGGAAGTAATGATTATTTCTAGTGTTTTCTCTCATGCATATTTCATTACACTCTATATATGTGTATGTATATATTCTTGTTTCACCAACTGCTGTTTCAACTAGCATATTTCTATACAGAATGTAACTTTAAATTTGTGTCAGGCCATAACAGGGAAGGTTAAAAATAGAGAGTTGTAAAATTAGGGTAGGATAGAGCAGTGAAAAGGTTGTGGGTAGACAGAAAGAGGCGGTTAACAAAGGTAAAGGGACCTGATCACTCTGAGTGGGGGTTTAAAGGAGTAATTTTTGTCCATTTCGGTTTATCGTACATAGTGATGAAAAAATAACAGTTCACAGCAAACCAACAAATTGAAGTAGAAACTTACAAGATGTTTAGGTTCAGGACGGACCCATTGTCTAAGTTGTGGATTAATTGCAAATAGTTCCAACCACGAATTTGTGACTTGTTTTCTTTAATACAGTATTGAAGATTTGGCCTTAATGAATGTTTAAGATAAAATACAAATATAAGTGTGCACACAGAGAACTTGGAAAATTATTTTTCTCGAGAAACAGTCAGAATGCCCTGGTTTATGTATCATGCAATATTAGCATTGCTTACAGTGAAGGTATACCATGTGAAGTCTGGTAGTGTTATATGTGTGACCAGTAGCAACATCCTACACAGGAAGCATCCATCAATCGGTTTCCTCCCATGAAGTCATCAGTTTCGTATATCTCCAATGTGGGTTAACGTTCTAAACTCTTCATGGTAAAAGATACGAGTGAATGGTGTCGCTCGTATATGAATGAACACTAATATAACACCATATAACCACCACCTTCAACACCAGCATGTCACATCCCAGGTTTTTCCTGACTTACGTTTGGTGCTATTTTTGTTCTCTTACGTGTAATTACCTAACTGAATTTGTGGGTGTTAAGTTTCAGTGCTTGGGTTAGCCTCGTAATTGTCTTAACTGAATATGTATCTATAATGTCTTTTTTAAAGTTCTAATATGTTTTTACCTTTCACTATGTCACTGTGTTTATCTTCTCTACAATTCTAATGGTGAGATCTTTCCTAATGTATTCACGAGCCTTTGGGGTATTCAGTTTCCATTTGTGTCGACTCTGTTGATTCTCTCGTGTTTCACAGCGTCTTGGTCCAGCACGTCTATTCCCAAAGCATTTTGCATGTTGTGATCATGTCACTTGTCTTCCTGCCTTCATATTCTGTTTTGAGTTCCAGTTTTCGTGTCTTTTTTCTTAACTTTAGCGTCTTAGTTCCTGTGCTAACCTGGTCAATAACCTTTGATATTCTTAAATTGTGTTGTTTTGTCGTGTGCATACCACGACAGGACACTGACGTGTAGTCAAGAACTGGCCTTATACTAGGTTCTTGCTTAGATTTCTGAATGTCATTAACAATTTTGCTAGTTCTGGGAATATGTAATTTTGGTGACAGGTTGGTGGTCATGTTAACTCGATTTTTCATGCTCTCTGATTCTGTGATTTGTTCCTCTGCCATAAGTGTCTGTGGGTAAGTTTGTGTTTTGTTACTTGTATAGGTTATTCTTACACTGTACATGTGCTCGTCTGTGCGTCAACAAATAAATATAGAAATATGTGAAGTGGTTTTTACAAGGAATGTTGAGTATAAACTGACAAAGCGTAAGCATTGTGTAATGTACGTACCTAAACCTTCAAGGAGCGATCTGTATTAACACAAACAAGAAAATATTAATTACACACCAAATATATCAGTCACGCTACCTAACTTCTCCACAGGGAAAAAAATAACACCTTAAATATAAATACATGTATATTGAAGTGAATAATATTTTATGCACTTTACTACTGCGTATGTATTGGTAGAGAAACTGTCTTCGCTACAGCCTATTAAAACAATATGAGTTTTAAAATGATATGTCAAGATTAAAGTTAGCGACATGTATATCACTATGTATATAAACAGATGTGTAAACAAGGCAACAGGTGTGAGGAGACTTGCCACTAGTGTTTGTTTACTCGTCTGGTTCTTCAGTAGTGATCATAAGACGCTGCTACCACTAAGCTACCAGAACACCCTCTGTGGACTATATGGGTAAAGCTTAAGCTCCAGGTATATTATAGTTTCCTGTTGTCTCGTTCTGGTCACTCTTACACCAAGCTGCCACCGTCACCCTGGTCAATACTGTTATCAGTAAGTCTTCCCTCTTCAGTGACTTTCATTATAGTTCATGTTGACAAATCTCTGAACTTTCTCAAGCATTTAATTAGTTTACTATAGGAAGGCTCCACATTCGTACTTCGTATTAATAAATTGGTTGTACAAACGTAGTGTGCAAAGTTGTGAATGAATGTTAACGTTGAGGATTATTATTTTTTTTTAACACAATGGCCGTCCCCCACCTAGGCAAGGCGACTCGAAAAAGAAACAAAAATTTTCTTTTTAAATACAGTAATTTATATAGGAGAAGGGGTTACTAACCCCTTGCTCTCAGCATTTTAGCCGCCTTACGACACAGAGTGGAGAAAAATTATGCGCTAAACCCGTGTGAGTCATTAAACGGGAGTAGTGGTGTTCCATAGTTCGACCGCTAGCGCACTCGACTCACACTGAGGTCCGGAGTTGAATCTCCTCCGGTACGGCTGGAAAACATTAGGGACGTGTTTCCATAAGACACCTGCTGTCCCTGTCCCTGTTCACCCATCAGTATAAAATGGGTGCCTGGGAGTTAATCGACTGGTGTGGGTCGCATCCTGGGACAAAACTGACCTAATTTGTCCAAAATGCTCTGCATAACAGGGGGCTTTCTAAATAGTAGTATGTCATTGATGTCAGCTATGGTCTGTATACCATGTACATGTACTTGTAGTGAATAAAATTGTTATTAAAGCTCGATCCATGGTCCAGTGATCGCTGCCTGGTCTCCGACCAGTCAAGTCTT